TGTCAGTTGTTCAGGTTAACATTTAAAATGCTTAATCTTAATGGGAATAATGGCTGTCTAAATTGATGTGATTCTGCTGATTTAAAAAAAAAAAATTGAAAACATTTCAGAGCAAATGTATATGTCAATGATATGAGATAGATAGATATATATATATATATATATACAGGGCCTAAAATTAACACTCGCCAAGCGCTAAATGCGAGTAAGAATCAGCGTTGGCGAGTCCATGTAACGGTGTCAGTCGCCAGTTGGTGGGTACAGCTTTTACGAATTATAACAATGCAATGAAGTGAAAACAACAGCCCGTTTTTAAAGAGATTCGATTTTTCTGACATAAGCGAATAAAATAATCTTGTCTGAAGACAAGATCATCGTGATTAGCTGTTCTGTCATAAATGACAAGAGCGAATCAAATAATAGGATATGAAGTATAGTTTAAAAGGCTGTGCGTTCGGCTGTACGTATACGCTGAGCCGCTTCAGACAGCGCACCAGTAGCGCTTCAACGCACGAAAACACACACAATTATGTCAAAATATGCGGTTTTGCCGAGTTACCTTGTAAACGTAGTGAGTTATAAAGTCTTAAATGACCGTAAAGAGTTGGGAAGGAGAAAATCAGATACATGTTAGATCCGCGTCATGTACTTCAGGTTTTAAAGAGACAGCGCTGCTTTTAAAGTGAAATCTGCTGAAGTCTTTCATTGATGTAAATCAAAGAACAAAAGAAAAAGAGAAATCATTGGACTGTTCTAGTCGCTGATTAACTTTTATAGCGTGAATAAAAATTAATATGTATAGTTTATGCATATATAATATAGTTTATGTGAAGATTGTTTTAAAATCACTTCAATTAAAGGTTGTTATATATTTCAGAGCCTATTAAATGTTTAAAATAATGGCTTTCAATTATACTGTAATGTTGAATGGCTATAATTAATAGGTAAAATTGAGGGAAAATGCACCAGCAGGACAATAACATTGTAAATATGTTTAGTTATTGTAGTAGTAATAACTGCCTGTTTTTGCAAAAAGAGTTTCATGGCCGGTAAAAAAAAATTTTGGCCGGTAAATTTTATCATGTCACCGGCCATTGGCAGGTGTGGCAAAAAGTTTGTTTTAGGCCCTATATATATATATATATAATAATTAGGGCTGGGCAAGTTAACGCGTTATTGTCGCGTTAACGCATTAATTCATTAGCGCCGACAATTAGTAATTGCGTTAACGCAGTTTTTTATTATTATGAAAGTCCGTTGCTCACTGGCTCTGAACACACATACAGACAAACCATGGGTCACAGGAGGGGTGGGATGTTGATCATTACTGGCTTGGGATGGGTGTCATCACGCGTCTCAACCAATGAGAGCATTTGGGGTGGGCTTAAGACTGCAGCAGCGCTCACATGAAGCGCTCACGACTTCATAAGTGGGAAATAGGAAGTTTCCGATAGCACGTGAAGACAGCAGAGAAGCGCTCTCGCTCAGCACAGTGGAGTGCATCGTTTTGTTATCTTTGTGGTTTATTATTTTGAGTCGTTTGTGACGCGGTAACACACAGCCCTCTCACAATATATTGCTTTACAGATCAATCACACTTGCCGCTCAGAAATGTTCACGCAATCATGCTGCACGTAAGTTCCGCGCTCCGGTGCAGTTAGCCTGCACACTCACTGATCTATATATAACTGAACCGGGCTCTGGCCCACCTCATCCAACTGAGCAAGGGCCGGCTAAATGACCCGTGCCCGAGCACGGCACGGAGTGATCACACTAGTCAAACAAACCGGGCTTTGGGGGTCAAACGCGCTCGGGCACAGTTAAGATTGCCTAGTGTGAGTACACCGTTATTCTCCCGTATCCCGCACACACGAGTGTCTACCCACCCGCACTCGCCCATCAAGTGTTGTCCCGTGCCGCATTCTGCTGCGTTGGGTCCCGATACTGCATGTCTCTACTCGGAAGGTGCCTGTTATAATGTTATGATCGAGGCTCTGGACTCTTGAGCATAACTTGTTTTTCTATAACTAACTATAAAATATTTTCTATAAAAACGTTAATGTCCTGGCAGTGGCAAATAGCTGGTTTTATATTTAATTTGATTGCATTAACATTATAAGTTGAGATTTACAAGAAATATTTTAACTGCTATATGTAAAAGGAATACTGCTATAAAAACCTTATTTGTTTAAAGTGTTTGCAATCCAAATTAGGGGTCGACCGATATGTGTTTTTCAGGGCCAATGCCGATACCGATTATTACAGATCAAGTAGACCGATAACCGATCGATATATACTGTATGTCTGATGTAAAAATGAAAATTAATGTCAAAATTAAGACTAACAAGGGCTCTGACAAAAACTGCCTTCATGAGTTTGCATATATATGCCGCCACAAACGAGTGCAAGTCTGTGGGAACTGGGAAACACTGCAGTTTTACTCAAATGAAACTGTCAAATGCTCATGAAGTGACTCTCAGAGGGAGTCAGAGCAGTTCTGGAGATGTTGTTCATGTATTTATGTCCTTTATGTAGTGAGACTACAGAAGCTGAAATCACCACGAGCGTCGCACACTTTGTGTGTGTAGAAAACAAAACCGCGCGTCTGTGCCATTTACATACACAGAGACACGCAGAACGTGCAGGATTCATATTTAAATAGTATTTTTGCGGCTTAATATTTACAGATACTAGTCCATATCGCGACTCTATTTAAGTGTACTGACCTACTTTTGATGAATTCATCCAAAGTTTGACATATTCCTCATCATACAATAAATTCCATTTATATGACTGGATTCCGTGATTCCGGCCACATTTTCTGCATCGCGGACATCATAGATAATATTGAGGTTTTCAACTTCAGTGTAACGTTAGTGGATTGTGATTTATTGCAACTTAAGCAACGTCTGCTGCTGCCTTATCTTTGAGAGACAACTAATGCGTGATCACTGAAGCAGCTCCAGTTAGCAAGCGCTTTCGGAGTGAGAGTGAATTCCGCATTGATTGGTCGGACTCGTGACTCCCAACAAATCAGATGGGCGGTGGGCGGATATTGCTTTAGGCAACAGAGTGGTGAGTTCTGACAGGCTGCATCAAAGCCAAATAGTGCGTTTCAAAATGAAGTTATTTTATCGGCGAATCGGTTTTGAAAATGACCGATACCGATAACCATAAAAATGCTTAATATCGGCGACAATAATCGGCCAGGCCGATAATCGGTCGACCCCTAATCCAAATGTTATTGCAGTTTTGTTCATATAGCAGTACTTTTAAATGAAAAAAAGTGCACAATACACTACTTTTGAATGCATTATTGAATTTTGTGCATAACAATGCGATTAATCGTGATTAATCGCAGACAATCATCGTTGCCCAGCACTAATATACATATATATATATATATATATGTTTTTGTTTATTAAGTATTGAGATACCTTTATTTATTGAAGAAAAAGCCGAATCCTACAAAAGAAATGTACTTTCAGAAAACCCTCATGTTTCTGGTGGTCATTTATGAAACATGTTCCTCTGAACATAGAGAGTTGTTTTAAAGGAACATAAATATGCATTGAGTGATAGCAGAGGATAACAGATTTCCCTCAGCCTCTATGAGAGCACCAGTCATTGTGATCTTTATTGGAAGTGATTGAGGGTGATGAGGAACTCTAAAGCTCGCAGCTCTATTGTTCTCTATGGGGCTGAGTGACTGATGGCTCCTTTTGTGCAGGGAAGGTGTTTTTCTAGCCGCTTGTACTTTAAGGCTAATCTCAGGGACCTCAGGAAGGAGCGGTGAAGTGTGCATGTGTACATCCACATGTGTACGCCAGAATGGCATGCACTTTTTGTGCATTTATTAGTGTATGTGCATGTCTGTAATGTGAAAGGAGTAGAAAGAAGCATGTTTAGACATACTGTGGGATGTATAATACCTGTGTTTGTGTGTGTGAGAGGACTATGGCTGGATGCACTCTGAAGTGTGTCCTTGCAGACAGGGTTTTCCTCAAGGATGAGCAGGCCTCTGTCAGGGTCAGACAGGATGGTACCCTTGGGCCCGTGGAGGGATATCATTCTTCACAGAACATGGCCATGAGCAGCTTTCAGATCTGTAATAGGGCTGCACGATTAATCGCATGCGATATTTAACGCGCATCTTGTCAGAAAGCCGGTTCTGTAATCAGCGGTAAATCTCCATCACCTGCGTGCTTTCACATTGAGCAGCATTAACTACACAGAGCCGTTGTTCACTGAAAAATCGCGCGAATATGAACGTGGTTTAGCGCAGCTCGTCAGTGAACAACGGCTCTGTGTAGTTAATGCTGCTCAATGTGAAAGCACGCAGGTGATGGAGATTTACCGCTGATTACAGAACCGGCTTTACTGATAAGATGCGCATTAAATATCGCATGCGATTAATCGTGCAGCCCTAATCTGTACGTGTGTGTAAATGCTTTTAGGCTTCAGTAGTTATATATTTAAGTAGAAGTGCACAAGATGTTACAATATCAAAAAAAGACTATTGTTGAATAGCTCTAATACCAGATATTTCTGCATTCCTGATACCTGTTTTGACAGCAAAGCAAAAATTAATATAAACAGTCCTTTATTTTCCTGCCGAAAAAAAGAAACTGCTTAAACCAGCCAAAACTGGTTTGCTGGTCTTAGCTGGTTTAAGCTAGTCTGGTTTCCCAGCCTGGCCAAGCCAGCAAGTGCTTTAAAACCAGTCAACCAAGCAAACCAACTTAGGCTGGTTGAAAGGCTCTTTCAATTATTAATATTAGAAAAAATTAGATGAAATATCAGCTATTTAAATTAAAATAATATGTAGACTTTGTAAGTAATTATTCAAGCAAGCAATATTAAAATAATATTAATTCATACTAAAGTAAATACAGGAGGTCTGGTATTGTTACTTTTTTGTTTGTATGTGTGTACATTTCAAGCAAAGTACTGGCAGTTTTGACATTCCTTTACTAATTTTTCTCTTTGTTCTCTTACAGGTAGAAGATGCAATGCTTATGTTTGATAAAACTACAAACAGACATAGAGGTAAGAGCCCATTTGTTTTTTGTGTGTATCTGTTTGTGTCTTTGCATGTGTGTGTAATGTTGTTAGTAATGTCCATCAGTCATACTGTGCCATTAGTTGTGCAGTTCACTGTTGCACTCTGAAGACATTGAAGCGTGAGTTTTCTGTAGCAGTACAGGAGCTCTTGTGCTGTGTGTTACATTATAGCATTATATCTTCAAGGACGTTTTATTTGAGCCCTGAAGGTCAAGGCTAATATGGTCCAATAAAAGAGAAGCGATTTCCACTGTAGCCAATCCATCGACTCTATTTGATTAGTCCGACATTTACCATTGGATGCGCAGGGTGGAATGTTTCTCGGTCATGTTCACTCACGCCTGCAGGCTTGTGAGAAATGTACGATATCTTCAGACTTATGATATACTGAATATGAGGTTATTGCTGAGTGATGTTTCTGTGACTTTATCTCTGAAACTTTTTTTCTGAGAAAGAATGAACTTTAGTACAAGGATTTGGAGTGATTTTTCCCCCCTGTAGTTGTGATTGAGTGATCAGATAATGTGTTTGATGGAGTAAAGGAGAGGAGAATGAGAGTTTAAGAGAAGAAAGTGAGAAGAGACATGAGAAGAAGGAAGGAAAGTTTAAGTGAAGAGAGAAGATGTGATTTAAAAAAGGAAAATTATGATAGAGAAGAAGAGGAAATAAGGAAGAGGGAAGGAGAAATGGTAAAGGGGGAGAGAAATGAGGAGAAGGAAGGAGAAATGGAAAGGGAGATGAGAAATAAGGAACGAAGAAATGAGATGAAGACAAAAAAATGAGATTATGAAAAGAAATGAAGGGGAAGAGTAGGAGAAGATATGAGAAATGAGAAAAAATAAGAGAAATTAAGGAAAATTATGATAGAGAAGAAGAGGAAATAAGGAAGAGGGAAGGAGAAATGGTAAAGGGGGAGAGAAATGAGGAGAAGGAAGGAGAAATGGAAAGGGAGATGAGAAATAAGGAACGAAGAAATGAGATGAAGACAAAAAAATTAGATTATGAAAAGAAATGAAGGGGAAGAGTAGGAGAAGATATGAGAAATGATGAGAAAAAATAAGAGAAATTAGATTAAAGGAAAAATTAGGAGAGGAGAAGGGAAAAATATTAAAGAAAGGGAAATAAGGGGAGGAGAGCGGAGATATGAGGAGTGTGAAGGAGAAATAAGGCTAGGTGAGAAATAAGGAGGAGAAATTAAATGAGAATTGAGGAGAGGGGAGGAGAAATTACTTGAAGAGGAGAAATTGTGGAGGGTGGAAGAGAAATGAGGGAGGAGAAGAGATGAAGATAGGAGAGAAAATGAGATGAAGAGTACTAGAAGGTATGGGAAATAATGAGGAAATTAGAAGAGAAATAAGGAGTGTAAAGGAGAAATAAAGGGAGAAGGGGAGGTGAGAGGAAATACAGGAAGAGGGAATGAGATATGAGGAGAGGAGGATAAAATAAAGGGAGAAGAGATGGATAGCATAAAGGAGAGAAAAGGGGAGGAGAGAAGAAAAATTGGGAGAGGAAATGAGAGGAGGAGAAATAAAAGGAAAAGAGAGAAGAGAAATGCAGAAACTGAAGGTGAAAAAAGATGAGGAGAGAAGAGAAATGGGCAGAGGGAATGAGAAAAGAGGAGAGAGGGGGAGAAACTACGGGAAGTAGAGAATAAAAATGAGAAGAGATGTAAAGAAAGGAGAAATGAGACGAGGAGATGAGAGGTGGTCTTTGGTCAGAGTAGGCAGTTGACTTTATCCAGCTGTGATCCCGTCTCTCTGTGTGGCTTTAGCAGCGAGGCCTCTCATGAGGACATTATAAAGGTGAGTGCAGCTTTAACAGACAGCCTGAGAGAGAGAACAGAGCAGATGAGAAGAGAAAGAGACAGCAGACGCACAGAGAGACAAGCTGAGAAATAGCTAGCAGCTTTATGCTACAGTGTTCACATGTATAGCATCCTCTGTAGTGGCCTGAAAGCCACGAGAGAGATTCTTAGCCTTGAGAGGCCTTTGTGTGGGTTGAATGAAGAGGCCGAGGAGCAGCGCTGTGTCTTTTATGCTGCATAAGTGGCTTTCAGCTCTCACAGATGGGTAGGTTGTGGAAATGAAGTGGATGGTATTAATCTTTCAACCTGAGATTTGCTTTTTAATCCATATCGGTCATATTTTAAAGGTGAGCGCGCGTGCGTGTCTGTGCTTGGAAGGTGTGCGGATATGCATTGCCTTTCGTTTTTTCTCTTTCTCTCTCTCACTCACCCCCCCACCCCCCCACCCCCCCAAAGGACTTCCTGTCCTCCTTGGCATTGTGACGCTCTCGTCTGTGACATCGTCAGAACAGCCTGATAAGTCACAGTGATATTTCTTCCTTTTTGCACGATTAGCAGCTAAGCTTTTTTTAATCTACTTCACAACCTCGAGTCAAAAACAGTTTGCAGGTGATCGCAAATTGTCCGTGTCGCCCAAACCGAGTGTTTCTAAATGTCAAGTTGGCCTACGATCCAAAAAAGACAAGCGTTTTCTTTTGTAAATGGAGATCAGAGCACGTAACAAATACACTTGCTGAACTTTGATCCACACTTTCTTCTGTTTCTCTATTTTGCCTGTCCCTGATGCCCCTGCCTTGGGCACTCATTCTCGCTCTTATAAATATTCCCATAGGGCATAGTGTTTGTATCTATGGGAACGAAGGGGGCGGAGCGGGTTCGGAGGAGCCAGGGCTCTCTGGAGAGCCCAAACTGTGTTTGAGAGAACAGGCGGGTCAGAGTGAAGGTGGAGAACGTCTAGCTTCGGCCCCTAGTGGGAAAAAAAGTTATTATTCTCAAACCCTTGTGGATGTAGCAAAGAGCAGCGAGGTCAGAAATGAGACTATCTGCCATTAAATGCACTGTTGGTAAACACCAAGTGCCAAACAATGTCGTCGACGACTATTGCTATTCAAAGAGATGCCCCACAATAGCGCATCAACAATAGCCGCTTGCAGATGTGTTGCTTTTGTTTACTTGCTGGTTGGAATGTGTGCAATTGTCTTTTTGTTTATCCGTGTCCTCCTTGTTAATTTTTTTTTCTCTCAAATGGCATCTTCAGCTAAATGAGGAGTCGTGGGGGTCACCGGTTTTAATAGCCTCACAGCAATTACTTTATGAGGCTGCAGCTTCCACCGAAGTGAGGTGGTCAACTGGACAGAAATGGGAAGGCAGAGAGAGACATTTAAAATAGTTTTTAAAGATTATTGTTTAAATGAATGTGTTTTCTTTCCTTCTGAAAGAAACCTCTGGCTGAAAGAGGAAAAGGGCAGATAGAAATGCAATGACGGTTAGTCCTTCAGCCACATTGAGTGATGGGTATCAGTGGCTGAAACCAACATATAAAGATCATGGTGACTACATGGACTATAATCTGGCACCACTAGAAATTATTATTTTTTTGTATTTTTCAGTTTAACAATTTGAATGACATGTATATAATGTATAGGATATAATGTTTTTTATTTAAGATTGTATTTGATGATTTAATAAAATTGAGTCACATTTAATTACAAAATTATAGATTTTTTTGTTTGTTTGTTTTTAGTTTTTGTTTTAATTATTTAATAACCATACAATTTTATAACAGTTTGATGGGCAAGTTTAAAGGGGTCATCGGATGCCCATTTTCCACAAGTTGATTTGATATGATTCTTTAGGGTCTTAATGAAAAGTCTATAACATACTTTGGTTAAAATTTCTCAATGGTAGTGTAAAAAACACCTTTTTTACCCTGTCAAAAACAGCTCTATTCAGAGCAAGCCATTTTGTAGCATTTTGCTTTAAATGTTAATGAGCTCTGCTGACCCCGCCCCTCTCTTCCGACTTTACTTCTTTACTTCTTTACCTCTTCTTTACTTTAGCCGCATTCATTGTGAAACTTGCTAATTAGCACATTATTAGGAAAGGCAATTTGCAAAGATTCTTTAAAAAACCTTATACTCACTTCTTCTGGAGGTGAAGCTGGATCACGAATGATTTGCGCGAACATAGACGCATTTATGTAGATCGGTGGTGCATTCCCTTCAAAAACAAATGTAATCCACTGCGTCTTCAGCGGCTCAGATGTCGGGAGTAAATGACGACTGCTATGTTCATTATTACATCCATTTACATTTAGTCATTTAGCAGATGAGGACAATAAAAGCAGTCAAAACTAACAAAAGAGCAACCTCCAACAACAGAACACGTAGATTAACAAAAAACCACTGGGTGGATTTTTATCATTATAGGGTGGTTGTTTACACACACTGCCAACACACATTTTAGTTCAAACAACTTGTAAAAGTGCATGTAGCATCCTATGACCCCTTTAAGTGAACATTTTTAGATTTAGGATTTTATATTTAATAAATAAATGTAATTACAATTTTAGTGACTTTTTAAATTTTTAACAGTTCATAGAATTTTGTTTTATTTCCATTTTTATGTTCAATTAAACAGATTTCATTTTTTTAAAAGATATAGTTTTTTTAACAGCGATTTGAGTGACATTGAATTGAAAAGTTTGTGGTGTGATTTGCTTTTTTTTAGATTGTGTGTGTGTGTGTGTATATATATATATATATATATATACTGTATGTAAAAAAACAAAACAACATTTATTCAGACACTTTCAACATTTCACATGTTCACAGTTTATTTGCTATAGTTTAGAAAATGGTAATAAAATACGACAAGAACTCAGAGTGAAACTGTGTCAGAACAAATTCATCATGATAATGTCGGATAACACTTAAGCAAAACATGGTCAGGTCAAAGTGTCTGAATAATTTTTGGTCCCAAATTTTTATAAATTTTACCGGTAGTCCACTGTATAAAGAATTTGTGGGTATAATATGTCACAGTTTACTTTATTTTGCTATCCTCACTTACATAAATGAACTATAGTCCTGTACCCACTAGTAAAAAAAATATAAAAAATTATATCTGGTGTCTGAATAATTTTTGGTTTGACTGTATATATAATTCTCTCTCTGCTTTA